CAGTCCATTTCACCGAGAAGCGACCGCTGACAAGCGTGGCCGGCTCGATGGCGTACATGGGTCAGTCAAAGGCTTCTGGGCCAGAGATCATGTCGACAGCTTTTTCTGATCGCTTGCACAACAAACAGCTCCCGAAGTGTTGGCGAAGCGAGGCTACTTTGCCACAGTTGATTGGTGGAGCTTGGGCATCGTCGCCTACGAGCTCTTGTTTGGCAAACGTCCGTACAGGGGCAAGACGAACTCGGGCTTGACGCAGGCAATCTTGAAGGATCAAATTCGGTTTCCGGAGAATGCGGCCGATATCGTTAGCCCAGAGGGTATAGACTGCATTCGGGGGGTAAGCGCCTCTTGAGGTTCGCAGGCTGCGTCTATTAACGAATCTGCCTACAGCTCTTGCAACGAGATGCGAGGCAGCGGTTAGGATGCCCTGGCACCGGCGGCTTGGAAGCATTCAAGCGTCACCCATGGTTCAGAGACTACGACTGGGGATTGATCGAGAGAAAAGAAGCTATCCCGCCTTTTGAGCCGGACGTGAGTGCGGATGCGTTCTTTCATGACGGTCGATGCTGACGATGCCCAACAACGACAGTCCAAAAAAGCCAACTTCGACGCAACGCACGAGCTTGAAGAGCTTTTGCTCGAGGACAATCCACTCAAGGCAAAGAAGCGCAATCCAAACATTGACGTGTCGCAGCTGTCTGTAGATTATCGCATGATGGAGCAAAAGTCTGTCGCCTGCCATCGTAGAGCGTCGTACAGTGCTGACGGCTCTCACGAACAGCTTTCTGCCGTACGACTTTACACGACAGCCACGAAAGTCGTGGTTCGTCCACGAAGCTGCAGACGCCGAGCAGTCATCCTCGAATGCATCGGCCACGATCGCTGTGCATTCGCAAGCGCTCACACTTGATGAGCAGCCGCTGTCGGACATGGCATCGTCGTCTCACGACTTGCGTGGCGGTCCCTTGATGGAGCGGACGCCCAGTCAGAGCGGGCAAAGCTACGAGATGCAGGAGACGCGACAACGGCGGATACGAGAGACTGCCGAGCAAAATCAATCAGACTCACACTTGCAGCCAGGCCCATCAGCTGCTGCTGGGACTTCTGCAAGCTCATGAGCCTCCGCATCGTTTTCCCATGATACCCCTTCCATTCATCAAAGTTCTTGGTCTATACCTTTCTTGCCGAGAGTCATGTCTAATCCGTGTTTCCGCGTTCGTTGTGTGGCCAGAGAGAGCCAGTGTTGTAATGGGATGGGCAGGTGCGCGTATTTCGATCAAAACCTCTGACGAGACGCTATCCAATGGCGAAGGGCCAAGGCTAGCGCAGCCCCTTTCGATGTGATCGCCAACGCTTCTGTCGATGATGCTGTGAGCTTCATCGGCAATGGCGTGCAGATTTGAGCATCCGCCGCATGGAAACAACCTTGTCGGCGCCACAACCCGAGATTACGGTCTCCATCCGCCGGCCGCGAGTGATCGTCTCTTGAGCTGCAAGAAAGTATGTCTCGGAGCTATCGGTTTGCAGGACAAGTATACGGAGCATCCGGTCACGCGAGAAGTCACCGTTCGGAAAGCTTAGAAGCTCTGGTAAATTCTAAGCTTCGGTTTGGCCCTGGGTTCAACTCCCAGTCGCGGCCAACTTTGCCCACTTCGTTAGCTCGCACTGGTAAATTCGCTGGGGAAATCCGGCCGCCCCTGGAAGAGTCGCCTTTCTTGTTGGATGTTTTTCTTGGTGCCGGCGCACAGAGTGCGACCCAGGATAAATGAGGCGGCACGTCTCATTCTATGTTCAAAATGTTTACGTGTACGGGACTAGGGTTGGCAGGCAAAGCTCGAGCGCTGACGGCAAAGTCCGCCGTCGCACTCAGGCTCGCCGCAGAAAGAGGTTTGGCTGCGCCGTCACGGCTCGAAAGGATTGCGAACTCATGCATCGGAACTCTACGATCCTGAGACAAAGGTGCGGGCCAAATTTGTAGTTGTGGATCTGAGAAAGATTGAGTGAATCGTCGACCTAGCGCCTGATCAGACTTTTAATGCAGACTGTCAGAGTGCAGCACTGCATGCATGCTGCATGACCACAAGCGTTCTACTTGTTCTTCCTCTTGGCCTTCTCCTCCGCCCTCCGCCTCAGTAACTCCTCCTCGTTGCGATCCTCCTGGCGAGCAATCCGAGCTGCCCTCTGCTCCTCTCGGTACACGTCGGCGCCGGTCGCCTCCATGTCAGAGTCATCGTCATCTGAAAACATGTCTCGCTGTATGTCACGGCTCCGATCGCGACCAAGCAGCCTCCAGATCTCGTCGCGCATCGAATTGTCGATGCGAGAGCTTTTGGTTGGCCGGTCGTCGTCTATGTCGTTCCTGGCGCGTTTTTTCTGCGAATTATCAGGGAGACGTGATTGGTTGCCTGGTTGCTTTTCACGCTTCTCTGGCAGTGAATGTGGCTGTTGCTGCTGTCTCCGCCGTCTCATGTCGGCCTCAATTTCTTCGATCGTTCGCAAATCTCGCTTCTCGGTATTGAGCTTGACAAAACGCGTCGGGTCAAATTGCGCTTTGAGCCTGTCCTTGGCCGTTAAAGCTTTCCCTGGCGAAGCCGCATTGGCTCTGCCTTGCGATTTCGTAGACTTTGGCGCACCGTTCGAGACAAGCCGTGCGCTCGCCGAAGCTTTGCCATTCGCACTGTTCGGCGCACTCGGTCGGGACACTAACGAAGGTGTCGAATCACGGGACGCCTTCGCCAGAGCCATACTGCCGATCGCATCGCCGTCGTCGTCGAACAATGCCCTCTTGCGTCGAGCGGCCTTGTCCTCTCGCGAAACGAACGGATCCTTGCTCTTGTTTCTGGCGGAGCTTGGCCCAGCGTCCGAGCTGGTATTTCTGGAATTTTGTGCGGCTTTTTTCATCAGGTCGTTATAAGGCGTTTTGGATTGGTTCTAAATGTGGAAAGAGTGAGTGGCGTCCAAGCGTGATCTGCATCGGTGAGCTCACGCCTGGCAGCAAATGATCGTCTCTACCGTCCGGGTCCAGTCCTCTTTTTATTCTCTCTTGCTTGAGTGCGTACAGGTTCCGAGTCTGTGGCAAGGCCGCCATCTGCCTTTGCCGCTCCTGTTCGAGCTTGCGTTCGCGTTCCTGTCGTTCTTTCCTGCGCTGCTCGAGCATCTCTTTCTCTTTTGCCTCCTTCTTGAGTCGCTCAATTTCTTGCGCGCGCTCTGCCTCTCTGCGCAGCCTGTCTCGCTGTGCCACTTCGGCTTGCTCCGTCGCGGCGTTGCGAGCCGCCTGCGCCATAAGTGTAGCAAACTGGAGGGGAAATATCAGCATGACAGCTTGAGACACACATTTGAGACCGACTTGCGTCCATCTTCGTCCACGCAGCTGCAGCTACAGCTGATTCGATCGGGGCAGTGTGGGGTTGAAAGCTTTCACAGCCGAACAGCGACAACGCCTGACTCAGCAAGCTACCTGTACTCGTCCTTTGTGCAGTTTGAGCATATCAGGACTAGGGGAAAGCAAGTCAAGTCGGAGCGCACAGTGTGGTCAGAAGCTGAACCGTTGACCGGCTCTGCCTTCGAACTTGATCGCGACAACATCCGCAAACCCGTGCGCGAGCGCTTTGGAAGGTCCACAACTGCCTTCTGAGCGTTCCACTGCTCCCAGCAATTGTTCCCAAGGGGTTGAACACGCCCTTCGCGCTGCGGACGACCAGCCATGGCCGCACCCTCTCCTCTCATGGCCGGATCAGTCTTTCAGGAGTACGAGACGGACCTTGAGCAGCTTACTTCGAGTGTCAAGGCCAAGCTGAGCGAAGAAGCGCGAGACGTTCGCGGCGGTGAGCGCTCGACGCAGCGATTTAGCTGAGCCCGTCGAGCTGACAGAGCGCCTGGCAATTAAACAGATGCGAGAGGGGCAGTGCTGCGGCGCGTCGAACGCGAGCTCGAAGAGGCAGACGAGATCGTGAGCCCTGGCCAGCCGTGAGGTGGTCGGCTGCCCGATCTTGACGCGCTTGCGTTGCGGACGAACAGATAGCTCAGATGGAGATCGAAGTCCAGACGGCAGACAGAGACGAGCGCGACGTCTTGCAGTCCCAACTGAAACAGCACAAGGCGTCTATCGCTCAGCAAAAAGCCGAGCTGGCAAGTACACGCCACTCGCGCTCGACTGCTGCCATGTTGACGTACAACCTTGCTCAAACAGACTAAGCTCGTCTCGACAACACATCGTAGCGACTTGCTTGGACCGAACAGCGAACACACCGCCATTGATATGGACCGCTCCGACTCGTCGAATGAGCAAGGCTCTCAAGCGCAGTTGCAGCGCAGTCGGTTGCTATCCACCACAGATAAGCTCTCGGAGGGTCAGCGGCGTCTCGAAGACAGCCACCGCGTCGCGCTCGAGACAGAAGTGCTTGGCGCGGACATCCTGAACAACCTTCGCGGCCAGCGCGACCAACTCGAACATACAAGAGACACGGTGCGCCTCACGACTGACTTTCATGTCATTTTCTGACTCGCCATGAACAGCTGTATGAGGCAGATGGGTCCATCGATAGGGCTTCGGGCACTCTCAAAAAGATGATTCGCAGGTGTGTTTATCGAGTTCGCAGAGAGCATTACGAGCTGACGACGCTTCGACAGAGCTCAGAAGCAGCGTCTGGTGACGTACGGCATTATTGCCATCCTCGTCTTCTTGATGTGAGCTTCCGAGTCGGTGGACTGCAGATTGCGAGCGCTGACGAGCCATTCTCAGTCTGTACGTGTTGTTTTCAAAGTTGTTTGGTTGATTGGCAGTCTATTCCTTGTTGTTGCAATATGTTGTCAACGTTCGCGCTCTGGCCGTCAACCCTCGCGCCGCACACGCATACATCCTGGACAATGAACGAACAGAGCCTCGTCGGTAATCCTGTATCGCAGCCTGTTCGTCAGAACCAAAAAGAACAAACAGTTGCAACTCTTCCGGGAGCAGCTAGTTTTCCCAGCCCTTTTGCCTGCCGCAACCAAAAAAAATCGGCCGCGACTGGGAATTGAACCCAGGACCACACCGAAGCACAGAATTGACTCGAATTGAGGCTTCCCGAACGGTGTATGATACGACTACACCATCGCGGCCGTTGCTGAAGAGCCCAAAATAAATGGTATATATATATGTATAAGTGTGATGAAGAGGTACAGCCTCGATTCTAGCTTTTCACACCATTTGCAAGCCAAAACAGGACGATGCGACCTTGAGCGGACCCTCAGAGCGCTGTCAAACACAATTTTCTTTTCTAACCAACATGTCCGTCGCCTTTGAACACTTGGTCATCTCAAGGGCGAGATCAATCCCTTTTGACCGCTTTGACATCCCCTTTCCTGTAGATTGGTACACCAAGGTCTTCAATGAGCTAGTTCGCCGGGATCTCAGCCCGTAGTTCCCTCTCTGCCGCTTGAGTGGCTAGTGCGACCGGCCGCGCAGCCCAATACTGCCAATCTAGGCGAACGTAGATTTCCCCATGCGCATCACCTCAAGGTTTAGTGCGTCCTCGGCCACGGACTCTGCCAGTGCTAAAGGGTTCAGTCTTGGTTCTTGAACTAGTACTCACCCCGAATTTTTCGAACAGGAGTCGTATTCTCGTTCAGGAACGGGATGATATTTTGCCACTAGCGTTTTGCGGAAGCTCGTTACACAATCCGACACATCCGAAGCCACTACGATGTGGCGCACTCGGGGACTTGGCGGCGCTACCTGACGAGCTCCATTACGATGAAAACGGGACGCCTTTATTTGAGCGAGTATACGACCTGTGACATTTTCGACTGCCTGTCAAAGTGCCGCACGGTTGATGCCGAGTCTTGCGAAACTTGAGAAATCGCTTTGTTTGTAGTAGGTTTTGTACTTCCCCGGTTCGGTTATGTCAAAGATCAATTGATCAAATGCGATGATGCCTGTTCAAGACCAACAGAAAAGTAGGCCAGATCGATTTGACTGTGGCTCGGAAGCCTTGGGCGCGAATCGCTTTGCCCTTTCAGGCCACGGACATCACAGGGTCCTCACAAGGCCATTATACTTCTCATTGACTGTTTCGCAGTTTTTTTTTCGACGTGCACCAGTCAGGCACTTATCGTGGCGCACTAGAACATGTACTCTGAGCCGACTTGGCTTCAATGGCTAGGCCTACTAGATGCTTATTCTGGCCGTCTTCCTTTTGAACAACTTTTCAATCTGAGCCCGATTGTTTCTCAGGAGATGCAAGCATGCGAGATTCTTACGCGAACCGAATGTGATATCCGAGTCTGCGACAGAGCTATGCCGGAATACTCCTGAACAGCTCTGATCATTGCCTGCACACACCTCGCGCAGATTTGCCGAACAGAGGACGATCAGCAACTAATGCTGTAGGCGAATGGATACGATTGGAAACGCCAGAATGCGCAAGGTATCTGCTCTGCAAATCAGCCCAGCGTGTGGCAGGCCTAGCTCGGCGACGGCGAACACCAGCCCCGAAGAGGACTCCGACCGACTTCAATTCTGTCAGTCCGCCGGACTCGCAAAAAATTACGGCAAACAAGTCCGGATTTCCCAGTGATTCAATGACAGGAGTCGCATGCACGTGTAACGTTCGAATCGATTCGAAGATGAGAGCGACAACGGAAACAACTAAGGCGGTCCGCGACGGGACTTCAGGTCAATGGCCTCCTGACCATTCAATGTAGATCGTATGCAGTCTGCTGCACTCGCCAGACACTCGCAGATGGCTCGAAAAATTCTGAGAAACTCATCGCTCGGGCGTATGGGAATCGTAGACTGGTCATCTCAATGCAAAATGTCGAGACTGTCATCAAGTGGTCACAAGGACTCGGGTATCAAAGAACGAAGAGTAATGTGTCTAATGCGATCCGTGGTGGTGCTTGCGCCGCCTGCCCTCTCTAATGCAAGCAGTTCCAGCAATGTTGGGTTTGTAACCGTTGCGGCAGGAGACTGTCGAAAGACGGACGAGTGAGCCGAAACCAGCCTTTATATTGTGCGGAAAGCAAAAGCCCACTCACAAACTCTACACTGACCGGCCTCGCAGCCGACGCCGCCGACGTGAGGGATGCGCGAGCAGTCTTGACCTTCGCCCGTGCTGGCGCAGCCTCCGCACGACTCGAGCGATGATCGAACGTCAAGGCACTCGTAACCGCCGTCTCCAGCCATGATGCCCGAGTACTCGTCCAGCGGCGAGCGAAAGTGGTGCACGGCTGCGTGCTCGAACGAGGCAGAGTCGGCGATCGGGCATGCAGTCTCGTCTGTCGGACACAGCGTCTGCTTGGCCTGTTTGGCTTTCTGGACACGCGCGCGCTGCTTGACGGGGTCTGCTACGCATGCTCCATTCTTCAGGCTGTACTTGGCTGGGCATGTTGTTAGAACGCAAGCAGATTCTTGACAAGCTATTACATATATGCATGTCAACCAAGCTGTCCTCTGCAGGAAAGAGACAAACGCACAGCCATGTGCACCCGCTGGATAGAAGGTGCATGGTCGAAATAACGCTCCGCAATGGTTCACATTCGAGGTCGTGTCGATCTTGTAGCAGACGCCGCTCTTCAGCTCATAGCCCCGCTGACATGCACTGGCAAAACATTCGCCACGTGCACACAAGTTCCTCGAGGCCCCCTTGAGTGCGCATACTCGGCCAATGCCGCCACAGTTTTGCGTATCTCGAGACGTCGGCCGCTGCACATTGTCTGTTAGATTACCATTTTCAGCTCAGCCTGGGGAAACGTACACAAAATTCCGCCGCGGGGTCCCACGAATACCCCTCGTGACATGTCGTGGAACATTGTCCCGCAACACACATGCCGTGCCCGCCGTTAACATACACATCTTGACACCGGTGGTCAATTTCACCACAGTTGAGCAACTGCTCAAAAGTCACCTTGTCAGCCTTTCGATGTAGGTCCGTGCAGGCATGTGAACTGACATCCGTGCGCAGATCGACAGATCGTCCGCTAGGACTCCATCGCCGCCAGAGGTCTTCTGCGGCAGCGGCTGACGGAACATCGACGTTTTGTGCCACCGCAAGAGTCACCAACGTTGTTGCAAGAGCCGTCCATGCGAGACGAGCCATGCTGTTGTATGTGGCTTTCAACTTCGAAAAAGAACCAGTGCAACGGGCCGAGGCTGGCAGTGACGATGAACGAAAAGCAAATGAACGAATGACTGGCTGGCAGAGTCAACTGCAGCTGAAGATTGCTATAGGTAAGTCGTGCTGCCGTCGAGGCGCAGAAGACAAAGCAGAGAGAGGTCGTGTTGGTGAGCAGGAAACCAAACTCCTTGTGCACGAATCGCGTTTGACGCGTTGACGCCTTCTCGGATCGGCATTGCGAACAATGGCTTCAGCGGTTCCAGGCGCCCGGGCGCCTGGTCTCAGTTCAAGACAGCCTCGACCTCCTTCCGCATTCGGCAGTCGCGAAGAGACCACAGCGCGTGCCGGCCTATCTTTCGTAAGATCCATGCAGTACGGCTTAGATAGCGAAGTTGGTCGTGAGATGGTGAATTTGACGAGCAGGCCTTTGCTAGTCTCGTGAATAAAGTTCTCTGGCCAGGAAATCGAGGATTAAAAGCGATGTATCGATAGCGCATCATTGCTGGGGTGAAGCCGAACTTGTGCACCTGATTGTTGAAATTCTTGTCTCGCATCAAAAGTAGTCACGTGCGCGCAAGTTGCCTCGTCAAGGCGCCGTGTGCGTTAACCTCTCACAAAGATGCACTGCCTTCCTAGACCGCGCAGTCTACGAAGCGCAGTGTCGTTGGCATGTCGAGCATGTCAAATTGAGCAACGCGTCAGTCTACCGGATGTTGCTCGTGCAGCAAGTTGAACGCGCTGACGGCTTCGCCTTCCAGCGTGCCGCACACAAGCTCGTCGAAGTGCAGCTTCTCAAAGATGTTCCTGCGCTTGGTCGACAAGGTGAGCGGCAGCACGACATGGTTCTTGCAACTGGTCTCTGTCGGCTCACGTCCGTTTTCTCCCCGTCTACTGCGCGCGCGTACAGGTGACATCGTAATCGTGGCACCTGGCCGAGCACGCAACACGCTCATTCCTCGAGGCCTTGGACTGTACATCGCCGGCGGAAAGGCCGTCAGCCCGTTGCGATCGATGCTTGACCGCCAAGCGCAAATAGCCATCAGTCGGCAAGCACAGGACAAGATTATTACGGCCAGAGATGTCGTAGACTCTCTTTCAAACAACAACGAGGTACGCCGAGAGCTCTCCGCCGCGTTCATAATCAGCTGCTCACAAGGCGATTTCGCAGCCCGAGTTACAATCATCTGAACAGGCAATCCTGGCGGCGCTGTCCCTCTTGCCTCAACCGTTGACGTTCAAGAGACGCACACACGCCTCGGACGAGCTTTTTGGATCAGTCTCTGTTCAGGACGTGCTGGCTAATGTCCGAGATTTCGGCCTTCGTCTCGACGAAGCGGCCTGCAGCTTTGTCGAGTCTGCAGGCATAGAAAAAGGCCGCATCAAGCGCATTGGCGACTACATTTGTACGCGCATGGCCTCGCTGTTTGACATTCGAGAGTATGCTTACAAAATCGTTGCCGCTCACGTTCGCAGTCGAGATCCAAGTCAAGGGCACAGACAAGACGCAGTTGATTGACGTCAAGGTCGTCGCCGAGTAAGAACATAGGCTTGTCATGTTGTATCATACGTCGCGGATTCATACCCGGAATCAGCATCGCAGTCAACCTGAACGAGACTTTATCCAACTCAGAAAGCTTGGCACGTCCTCTGCAATCTTGCTCGGCCTGGTCATCATCGAGTGTCAGAAGAAAACCTTTTCATTCACAGCAATGGTCAGCCGACTCACATGGCGAGTTCAGAGACGAATCTCGGTACCAGGCCGCCGGCGTCTGACGAAGTGGCCATCCTGTCGTAGGAATATAAATTAAGCTAATGACTATGTCATTTCGGTGTACTTTGTCGGCTTACGTCCACACGATTTCGCCGTCTTGCTCACAGACGTGCTCTACCGAGACGTATTTTGCGCGCGTAAAGCCTGCCTGACGGGGGTAATCCACCGGCATCGAAATCACCATGAATGTTCGTGCTCCCTCTGTCGTGCTTGTTTCGCGCGTACAGATTGCG